GTTGAACATCAACCATTTCCTTTTGGTACAGTGACTCTGTGTATTCTTTCCATCTTCTTTTTTTTCTGCATCATTCAATAATTTGCCCAGAGAATCCTTCAATAACAAAAGTCGAGATTTGATTTTTTTCTTCAGTTCCCCCAGCTTGAGAAATGCTGAGTGTGTTCTTCCTTTTTGGTTTTCTGACTTCATATTTTGGCACATTTCCTTGTAATATTTGACTTCGACTTCTTGAGCTGACCTTTGAAATTTTATGTTCAGCTCTTGTACCTCCTCATTTCTTCCATTTGCTTTAGCATCTCTATGCTGGAGAGCAAGTTTCAGTGTCTCTTCTGACATCCATTTTGACCTTTTCCTTCTTTCTCGTTCGTCTTCTTAATGACTTTTTGCTTTCTTTCTGTATGATGTTCTTGATGTCGTCTCACAACTCTTCTGGTCTTCGGTCTTTAGTGTTTAATATATTAAATCTGTTCTTCAGATAATCTCTAAATTCAGGTGGGAAATATTCAAGGTCATATTTTGGCTCTTGTGGACTTGTTTTCATTTTCTTCAGCTTCAATCTGTATTTGAATATGAGCAATTGATGGTTTGTTCCACAATCTGCCCTGGCCTTGTTTTGGGTGAATATATGGAGATTTTCCACGGTCTCTTTCCGCAGATGCAGTCAATTTGATTTCTATGTATTCCATCTGGTGAGGTCCATGTGTATAGTCATCTCTCCTGCTGTCTAAAGAAGGTATCTGAAATGAATAAATCATTGGTTTTGCAGAATTCTATCATGTGATCTCCAGCATCATTTACATCACCAAGGCCATATTTTCTAAGTACTGATCCTTCCTCTTTGCTCCCAACCTTTGCATTCCAATCACCAATAATGATCAATACATCTTGATTGCATGTTTGATTGATTTCAGATTTAAGAAGTTGGTAGAATTCTTCTATTTCATCCTCACTGGCTTTAGTGGGTAGGTTATAAATTTGAATAACAGTGGTCTTTATTGGTCTTCTCTGTATGTTCATGGATATTATCCTATCACAGACAGCGTTGTACCTCATGTCTAATCTGGATATGTTCTTTTTGACGATGAATGTAATGACATTCCTCTTCAATCTTTCATTTGCAGCATAGTAAATCATGTGTTTGTCAGATTCAAAATGGTGAATACCAGTCCATTTCAGCTCACTAATGCCTAGATATCAATGTTTATGTGTTCCATTTCATTTTTGACAATTTCCAATTTTCCTAGAGTCAAACTTCGTACATTCCATGTTCCAATTATTAGTGGATGTTTACAGCTGTTTCTCATCATTTTGAGTTGTGCCCCATCAGCAAATGAAGGTCCCGTGGGCCTACTCCCACGGGCTTTACTCCATTCACATCACTGCAGTCAACTGTACTTTGCGGCAGCAGCTCTTTCCCAGCCGCATTTTGAGTGCCTTCCAACCTGAGGGGCTCATTCTCTGGCACTATATCTGACAGTGTTTCTCTACTATTCACAAGGTTTTCAGTGACTAAATATTCAGAAGTAGTTCGTCTCTTCGTCTTCCTAGTCTGTCTTCTCTGGAAGCTCATCTGAAACCTGTCCACTTTGAGTGACCCTACTGGTATTTAAAATACCCAAGGCATAGCTTCCAGAAACACAGCAACTCACAAAGCACCACAGAATGACAAGCTGACAGAAGAGTGATGGAATTTCATTTGGGCTAGTCTAAAAATGTTGATTTGGCCTGCAATAAAGTAATTTATAAGTAAATGCATGGATAGACATATAATCTGAAGGTGTGTGGGAAATGGAGTGGGAGCATACCCACAAATACATATAGGTTTGCCAAAGGATATTTGTATATTTGTCTTTTGCTGAAAACATACCCATGAATATGAAGAATATGGGTATCAAGTTATGAAATATAAACTCAAACATAACCAGATATCTTGAGGTAATGAGTTACTGGGTCTTGGGTCTAAGGACCATAGTCTTGGGGAATCTAAGGACCAAAGTCAATTGGCATAACATAGTCCACAAAAACAATGTTCTACATTCTACTTTGGTGAGTAGTGACTGGGGTCTTACAAGTACATAAGTGGACATCTAATGAACAACTATTGGTCTTTCCCTACTGGATAAAAGAAGAGTGAAAAAATCAAAGACACATGGAAACAATTAGTACAGTGGTCTAATGGACCATGTAAACATCAATCTTCATGATCCTAAGATTAAAAAAGAAAAAATATGTTGGTTTGGATTTTTTCATTCTGAAGTTGAACAGTGATTATCACATATTCAGAGTCACATGCACTATTTATGGGCCCACCCTTGCTCCCCATGTTGGCTTTGGTGCTTGGCATTCTCCTCCTTTCCTCTTTTGTTTCTAATTCCAGGTTCAGCAAGCACTATGATTTCTTGTGACCCTTTGTCCCTATGGCCAGGAGAAAAAATACATACATATCAGATGAAACTGTACTGTGGTTATTAATTTGTAACTTTTAAGGTTTTTGGTGAATTAGCCACCCAGTTATCATGCCTACATTCTTGTAGTGATTTTCTTAAAAGAATGTAGTATGTCTCATACATACATGATATTAAACAATAGTTATAAAGTTAGAGTAGTAGTTTGGGCAGAGATAGAAAGCAGTTTGAATCTGCTTTGGTTAAGGCCAACTCTGAATAATGAAAGAAATTATTACAGTATCAACAACTAATAAGATCTTTTGCCAATTCATCGATTAAACTAAAGAGGTTTCATTGTTGCAAAATCCTGCCCTCAGCAAGAACTAAAAGTAATATTAGTCGCAATTGGTAAACCTTTTACGCTTCCAATTCAATCTACCAACAAATACATCCCCTGAAACTCACTGGGAAATATTTCCTTTCCTGAGGGCTGGATTCACTGTGCTGATGTGAATTTAAATCACTAATCCTAGAGGAATTGCACATTGCACATAAAATCAAATCATAAATATGTATTTGGGAGTCTGTCTGAAAGACTGAACATTTTCAAGTGGAAAAACTATCCTCAATTTTAATTCTATTAACCCTTTAAACTTAAAAAAAAAACTAACTTCTTTATAAAAACAACTTTTTAGAGCTTAAATACTAGATACTGAAGAAAGAAGTTAAGAAAAGAGTATATAGGAATCCTACTCCTTTCAAAGTGACATGTTGGTACTGAAAACTTGTTTTAGAAGTGACTAGGCCAATTAAGCCTGGTAGCATAATTTCAAGAGAGACATGCAGTATAAGGCCCCATCCACATTATGAATTTGCACCGAAGTGAGGAATGGTTGATACATGCAAAGATATGCAATTCTCCAGTGCTATGCATATACCCCTTATAAAAGACAGATAGAGTGGAATAAGATGATGAAAAATTATTGTAGATTTCTGTTTAGTCTTTTTACAAAGAGAGGAAAGCATTATCAAGAAGCAGATTACACCAGTTATAAATGAAGAGATGTGATACATGGAGTAAGTCAGCTAAAGTTTACTTTGTAACTTACTACTCTTAAGGAAGATCCTTGTCTTACAGAGTATACTACTTGAACAGAACAGAGCTTTAGGTAAAATAGGTAAAGAGATCTGGGTTTTTTTTTTTTGTTTGTTTGTTTGTTTTTTTTAACTAATCAAATATGAGTGATTATTTACAGGACCAAATTAAGTATTAATGTGAATTAAATGAAATTCTTTTCATGTTTGAGCAAGAACAACAGACAACACAGGAAAATCTCCATACAATACAAAAGTAAAGATATATTCACACAGTGATGGACAGTCTTACTGTATTTAATTTGGGAGAAAATTATCAGGTTAAAATCAGAAGGAGCAGATTTTTTTTTTTAATTCTCAGTTCGAAACACACTTTAAAAATGTACCGAACTCATCAACTGATCCTGTTTTCCCCCAGCACTACTATTGTGTCTTATGTGTTTAAGCAAAGATATACATCTACTAGGATTCTATGTTTGTTTTACTTATTCTGCTGTTTTGTTTTTCTATTGCTTAACAAGAATTAGGAGGGGATCAGAAACCCTGTACAGGGTCACTATGGGTCAGAACCGACTCGAAGGCACTTAACAACAACAAACACTGCTTCTGAAAAGTAGATTCCCTGGCTGATGAACACTGTCGGATATGTCAGACCACAGCTTCTCAGAAAAATGAACTTTTCTTTAAAGACAGAACAACCTGACTTATGATCATCCTTTAAAGCATTCCTCATCAGTAGTGAACTCAGTTATAATAGTTGGTAGGAAAGTATTTCATATATAAAACTCTTTTATATCAGAGACACATATGTGATTACATTGTTAGCTTTTCTGTAAATATTTAAGAAGGCCGATCCATCCTGGAGAAAAAAGGAAATACTTACTATTAGACTTTTATTTTAGGAACACTGCCATTGAGTTGATTCCAACTCATAGCGACCGTATAGGACAGAGTAGAACTGTCCCCTAGGGTTTCCTAGGCAATAACCTTTATGGAAGCAGTCTGCCTCATTTTTCTTCGTGGAGCAAGTGACGTGTTCAAAGTGCTGATCTTATGGTTAGCAGGCAAGCACTTTAATCACTGAGTAATGAGAGACCCTTATTTTAAGATAATCTAAACCAAGACCCACTGCTACTGAGTTGATTCCAATTCATAAACAACATAGGATTTCCAAAACTGTAAATCTTTACAGGAGCAGACAGCCTTATCTTTCCACAAAGCTGCTGACGGGTTTGAACCACTGATCTTGTGATTAGCAGTCTAGTGCTTACTCTACAGTGCCACTATGGATAGACAGCTCAGACTCCAGTTGTTTCAGTTATCTGAAAGTATATTAAAAATATTACTGCCTGTACCCTAACCTAGACCTTAGATCTAAAGCTCTACATTTTCTAAAAAACTCCTAGTCTTTTATCCTGGTGATTCTATGTACCACAAGGTCTGAGAACCGCTTAAAGGCAGTGCTGGAATGTCTTATGTTGAAAATCATAAACACTCCCAATGTCCATTACTTACGTGTACACCTTAAGAACAAAATCCTTTTCTTCCTTTACTTCTGTGAGTGACTGTAGGACATCCAAGATGCTAAGCACTGCACAGCCATATGGTCGCCGGTAGTGCAAGTGGGCAGGACCCTTCTTTGAGTCATTCAGGAGCATCCGCCCTGGGACACAGCAGAAAATACCATTCAGATTGAGAATGTCTTTTATTTATTTATTTATTTATTTTAGCATCATCTTGACTGCCATCTGAGGATGCCAGAGCTACAGGCACCTTAGAAATACTCTGAATTGGAAGGCTGAGGCTAGAGGGCTGAAGGCAGATTTGCAAGGATGCAAAGATATTTATGTAGATGATCTCAAACAGGTCTCTGGCCAGGGCACATTCAGTCAATCACCCTTATCACCTGTCCCCAAACCAACGTCAAAAGTCTAATAATTAATCATATAACAATAAATCACTGTACTTCATTATTTCTTTTTTTTTTTTTTGTACTTCATTATTTCTTAAATAAACTAAATTTAAATTTGCCAGGCATATTAAGGCTCCAAAGTTCAGTATTTTAGTTTCCAGCAATAAATTATGCATGCACAGATAAAGATGACAATGTGTTGTTCTTCTAACCAAATTCTGCTGCCAAAGTTACTCCTGAACCATCTTCTAAGAGCAACTCAGAAAGTGGATGAGAGCTTGATTTCCCTGCTCACCAAATGCTGAGCAAACAAAACTGGAGCCTCAAACAAATGCTTTATTACGTACAAAAAAAACAGTTGCATTGTTAGCTATGGATTAGAAGACATTCTTTGATAAAAATTAGTAAGATGTGTAAGAATCCAAGCCTATAAAAGAAGAATTGGTTATTCATAGTCCTTACAATTCGATCATAAGTTTGAAGTAAGATTGGGAAAACCAAACTTAACAGTAGCATAAATCACTTTCATTTTGGGAGTGCCAAATGCAAGATACCACCCATCAACTGGAGTGATGATGGTGACTCTAATTTTGTGTAAAACAGCATAGATATGTAATCTTGGATATGTCCCAACAGCAAGGGCCATTTGCCCCTCCACTCCCAAACCCCAGCAACCTGCTATAAGGTCTCTAAAGGAAAGGGGTGATAAAGGGGCAAGGCAATGTGATGACGTGATGGACAGAATGTAAAAAAATTCCATTTAAATGAAGAATTTGGGTCCAAAACAAAGAGGGAGCAAAAGGTCTCAAATGTGAGAGAGAGAGAGAGAGAGAGAGAGAAAAAGCTCTTATTTATATCAAGCACATCTACCAAAACAGCCGAGTTTAAAGCAAAGGCAAAATTCAAGCTGGACTCTAATCCTGAAGCCTGAAATAACATGTAAAAGGTGGGAGAAGACAATGCTCATGAATTCTAAGTTGGGTTGATCTTAATCATCTGAATGGATAAAGTGAACAGTACCTATTCGGATCACATGGGCAACTATATATAAATCTCTCTTCATATCTTTGCTGCTCAGATCCTAAGAAAAGAGAAAACATAAGTAAATTAAGGCAATAGATACATTGGAAATAATTAAAATTTCATTCTGAACCTCAAAAATGGATTTGCTTTTGTTGCTTTTAGCATATTGTAAGTGGGGGACGGGAACTAAAGCACACAACAGTTCTGTTTATGAAATTACTGTAGTGATGTTTAAGATAAACGTTTTAGGAAGTTATTTTCTTGATAAAATGTCTCCAGCCTTACTTAGACCACTTAAGAAATTAAATATACATAAGAGTTCTCACATTAGAAAACTTCATGATAATACCTTATCTCATGTTTATTCTAACATCACATAAACACATTCTGTAACAAAAGGAATAAATAATATTCAATGTAGAAAAAAAAAAAACACCAAAAAGCTTATTTGCGACTAAAATTTTAATTTTATTTTCTTCTAATTTTACATTTATCTCATTATCCACAAATTAATGATTTTCACACACTAGGTCAAATCCTTGAAAATAAATTAATTTGATCTCAGTGAAACCTCAACAATTTGATTTCCATTTTAAATTTATATATATATAACATTTCCATTTTAAATTTAGATATATATAATTTACACTAAGTATAACTGAAAATAATTTTATCTGGAAAATTTAAGAGTTAACTTCTAATCCAACAAGATCAAATTTATTACAACTCATAGTCAGAAACTTTTTCAAACCAAAAAGTAATATAAATACTTATATACTAAGTAAATACTTATATACTAAGTACTTATATTATGAACACATTTTTGAATAAAATGTTTATTTACGGTATGCATTTATACTTTAGCATTATACTTAAAATAAGTATGTATTTTGTTTGAGACTTTTCATTAGATTGTTAATTAGTTTCTCACTCCTAGTTAGCCATTGTTGAGAATTAGTAGTGATGGTTTATTCAGTATTCTCTTTGCTAAATGGAAAAGATTCCAATAATGTTCCTTTTGTTTCTAGGAAAGGGTCCCTTAGTGCCATTTCTTTAGCATCTTTCATCTTTTGTTTGGATCCAAATGCTTGTCTCTCTTCAGTAAAACAGGTGAAAAGGGCAATCAAGTGGCAGCCATGATCTGACGTGAGCTTTGAGATCCCCATCTTTGCTATATTTTTACACTCTGTTGTAGGATTAGGGCTAGAAAGAGGTTAAACAACACACCTAAGGTACAAAATTTAAAGAGGCACTGTCTCTCAGGATTACCTGCCTTGTTTATGTCATACTAGCCCCAACTTTGTCCTGTTAAATGATTCTGAACATGTGCAAAGAAAAGGGGACACTAAAAAGTAGTATATAAATAGCGCTGCAATGAACACTGGTGTACATGTCTCTGTTTTCAAGTCTTTGGGGTATATACTTAGGAGTGGAGTTACTGGACATATGACCAGGTGATGTTTCATTCTGTTGTACATAAGACTGCAATAAGTCAGAACTGACTCAACAGTACCAAACAACAACCACATCAGTGGTAGTTCTATTTTTAATTTTTGAAGGGACCACCACACTGTTTCCCATAATGGCTGTACTATTTTGTATTCTCATCATGACTGGAGAAGTGTTCCAATAATGTTTAGCGCAGCACTATTCCCAATAGCCAAAAGATGGAAACAATCTAAGTATCCATCAACAGAGATGGATAAATAAATGTGGTCCTTACATACTATGGAATACTCATCAACCAGTGGAAGAAATAAACTCTTGATATATGCTACAATCAGGATGGAGCTTGAAAACACTATGATGAGTGAAGTAAGTCAATCACAAAAGGATAAGTATCATACGACCTCACTTATAAAAAAGACAAGAAAAGGCCAAAGTATAGAGGTCAAAGTTTATTAGTGTAGGGGTGGGAGGAAGGAGGTAAGGAGGTGGTGAACTATGAAGGGTATTGTGCACTGATTAAGGGTAGAGTTGTACTGCCAATTATTATAATTGCTGTCAATAAACCGTACCTGTAAAAAGTTAAACTGAAAAAAGTCGTGTGACTGATATATTTACAATAATGACAATAACAAAAAAGAGTAGTTGCTGAAACTGCTTGTCTAAAACAAAAAAAAACAAACAAAAAATGTCATATCTGGTTTCTTGGTTTGGAAGTTTATGGTCATGGATTCATGGGACATTCCAGTAACTGGCCTAAAAATGTGTTTAGTGCTTCTGTTCTACCTCCTAGTTCATTGAATAGCACCTGGGGTGAATCAAGGTTGCAAACTGATATCCAAGGTATGACAATTGATTTCTATTCACCTGGATCACCAAAGGAAGGAGGTGAGTTGGGAAAAAGAGAAGAAAGATATATAGAATGTATGGCTAATTGTGTCCATAAACAACTGCCTCCTTTGCCATGAGACCAGAAGAACTAGACGGTACCTACTGCTACTGAACATCTTGATGACAGACTACATACAAGAATTCTGATAAAAAAGGGATTAGAAAAAGCAGAATAAAATTTCAAATTCTCATGGACTCTAGACTTTCTGGGACCATGCAGTTTGGGCTGGATAACCCCTGAAACTAGTGTCCTGAAATAATATTTAAACTTTAAGTCAGAAATATTCCTTTAAGTCTTCTTAAAACCAAAGAATAGTTTTTATAAACTAGTAAAGAACTGCCTTAAGCAATATTCTCTTTTAAGAACTATCTAAAAAGGTAAACAAAACTGGAAACATAAGAAATTTTAGGGGCAGTAAGTTCATGTTAATGGAGGAGTTGAATAACTCAGTAAAGGAGGGTGTGAAGAGTTATACAACTTGCAAAATACAATCAATGTCAATGAATTGTACAAGTAGAAATTGTTTAATTGATGTACTGCTGCGTATATTCTCAGCAACAAAATAAATAAAAATTAAAAGTGAAAAAAAACAACTAGAGGCATGTAGGCTTTAAAAAAAAAGCAATATGTAATGGTAAAATTGATGCTTTTAGATTCTGGATGGTTATAGTCTTCTAAGTTCTCATTAGAATAATAAAACATGCTTACAATGAAGTAAATTACAAAATAATTTAATATAAATTGGTTATTTGTGAAATCACAATAAAGTTGTTTTTTTTTTTTAATATTTTAAAAAAGATGTTGTCTCCATTTTACTAATTCCTTTCATTTAAAAGAGGAATTTAAAATGGTATTTGCAAAGTAGCATTGTATTTTGACACTTCATAAGATGGCTACTGAATAATAAACATGTTAAAATAAAAGATGGAACATTTTTATGTACTTTTTAGAATAGAAACATGTACATTACATATTATAGAAGGATATAAAAATGTTTTACATAATCAAGATGAAATGTCTCCTTGTACATAGCTTGGATGGTGCTAATTCAAACTATCAAATGACCTATGAGTATAATTATTAATGCTAGTGTAACAAGAGAATTAAAAATCAGTTACCAAAGGTGATCAAACATTAACCAGATGGACTGCATATAAGAACACTGGATTTATCCTTTGGGTCTGGCTAAGAGAAGAAATAGAAGTCTTGCGTATAATTTATGGTACAAATTATTGGATAGGGGTTTTTTCTGACCATGTTGGACATGGTACCCAGAATTCTCAGCATTATTTATTTAAAATCAATAAAAATCAGACAATAACTCACAGCACTACACCAGGACTCCATAGGGAACTATGAAGGCGGGATATTTAGCAGCTTTGCTCCTTCTCACTTTGGCAGAACAAGAGTGCAGTTACATATATCAAAATTTATGGAGTTGTAGCTATAGCTCAAGCCAATGGGCCCATACAGATAACTAACCTACTGCTAAGTGAAATTTTTGGATTACTATAATTACATTCAAATACCTATCATAATTAAGTTCATTTTTCAAGCGACAAGGACTACACTCATCAAATTCAAGGATAGTACACACACACACAATTCTGTTGCCAAAATGCCTAGGAACAAGGCATCAGCAATTTTTCTTGCTGCTTTACCAAATTAATATCAGAGACTCAGAAGAGAGAAAAACCTCCTATGGTCAGTATTCACTTGTCATTCTAGTTCTAATTCTGCTACAGAAAGGAAACCCCTGACCTCCCTAGAATACCACACCAAGGGATCAAGTACTCTAACTTTGGAAACTCTTCTGCTGATATTCTAACTCAAATCCCATTAACTGCAATTTAGAATCTTTCTTTGTTCTTTTTCTACTAAAAAGAAAGAACAAAGATCAGTTTTCTCTTGTCAGACTCAATTCTCTAAACTATCTTCAGCAGTCAGTTTTCCCGTCTCTTTCTTTCTAGGTACTCTCCTAAGCCTTTAATACTGAACTCAGACATAGGCACCAACATCGTATTAATTTAGCTAGATTTGTAAGTCAGTTTTTCTTTATCTCTGGGGCATTTTCAATAAAAGCTATTTCCATGAAGTGGTTTTTAACTCTGCAGTAATATCATTTGACATTTTGAAAGATAAAGTTGTAGTAAAAAAAAAACAACCCTGAAAAGTCAGGTGAGCAAATACAGTTTTATCTTTCAGATAAGGTCACATATTAGACCCCCAGATAAATCCCACTTGTATTTAAGAAACACACTGTAAATTTCAAGATATCTGACTAGGAATAGTCAATCATGTGCCAGTTAAGGGCAGTGGCACTGTGAGGCTATCATAGATCCCTGAACTGACTAGCTTCTGACATACCTCAGTATCAGTAAAGCAGATCAAAGAATTCATGAGAGTCAAAATTGGCTTAAAATTGTGACATATTCTTGTTTTCGTCTTCAATAAATAAATTAACGCAAATAAACAGTTTTGTAACTGGGTAAAAAAATTTTAAGTCTGAGTCAACTTGAGGTACACATATGGCAAAGTGGTTATTGTGAAGTTTAGTACTTTCCAATAAGCATAATAAAAAACCTTTTCTAAGACGATGGGTCCATAATGGCAGAGACCATGAGTAGTCACATAAAAAAGAACTAAATTTATTACAGACAGCAACTGGCAAAAACCCTCCATTTGTATTTGGAAGAGAAGGACTTTTTAGTTTGTCCCTCTCTTCATATGCACTAAACAAATTGCAAAGTTATAAATTTGGTAGATGCCTTTAAGATAAACTGTATTTACACATCAAAGAAATTCCCAGTGGCCTTGAATAAGGAAACTAAGAAAAAAAACTTTTCTTAGATTTTAAGTGTCTTTTACATCAGTAAAAGGCACAAAATTGTATTTATTTAATAAAAAATTTAATTATAGCCTGCAGGTGATTTCAGTTTTCTTTAAATATTTCATTAAAACCTGACAGAAACATAAATCAAGTCCTATTTTCCCCAGCATGTAAAGAAAAAAGAATAAATACTCATTTCCAGGGTAACAAAATCCACATAGCAGGCCCTGGTTAGAATCAACAGCAGCAGAGAAGGGAAAGAGAATTTGCACATACTGTAAAAAGGGCACACATTCGTTCTATCTTCTCTGGGTTCCTTGGACCACCATTCTTGTTCAGTCTCACCAGAAACCGCTCACTGAAATGCAGGAGGGAGAGAGAGAGAGAGACAGAGAAATGTAAAAGACCACACACTAAAGAATAAATAAAAATGGCATATACAGAGAAACCCTAAACACTTACAGAATTGTTCATGGTGACAGGCAAGACTAAAAACATGTATATTATGGTAAGATACTATCTTTCTGGCCAAGTAACATGCAATGGATACTACAAATTGTCTGATAGGTGTTGCTGCTCACTTGTTGGCTGTGTGTGCCTTAGGTGTGTGTTCCTGAGAACAGTAGTGGGACCATAGCGTATATTCTCCCAGTATCCCCTAAATGATATGATGGCTAAACTCATAACAAGCATATATGAGGGTCTTCGAAAAGCTTACAGAAAAAATGGAATTATAAGATAATAAAATTTTTCATGAACCTTTTGAAGTTCTCATATATTCTTGATCACTGAACACTCAGATGATCATAAAAATACTCATCATAGAAGATATAAAAGAATCTACATTATATATTTTACATCTTCCTGTTATATGACTCTCAATAACCACTTTATGGCTAAGAAGCAAACTGTCATGAAAATGCAGGGAAAAAGTTAAAAAGAAATAATATAGCTAAGCATTATTCAGAATTTAGTAGCATCTGCAAAATATCTTATTTCCCAAATAATATAGATAATTCTTAAAGGAAATTAATGAACTAAACAAAAACCTTAGAAACATTGCAGCATTTGGAAAATGTAATATTTGAAGAAATGTTCTCCTTACTCTCGCATCTCCTTCCTATTCCTTCCCCTCCATTTCTATTTCTTCATCTTAATGTTCCCTACGAACCATAATAGGGCAAATAAGTCATGGAAAAAGCAAAGAATGTGATTTTAAAAGTAATTCTCCTGTGCCCTCAATCATGTACTAATAGAATATAATGTGGTACCAGTAGAAGGGCTAATATCAAAATACTGTATTGTTGCTACAATAGTACCTACGCAAGTTGTTAAGTTTGTTCATGCATTCATTTGGTAGGTCATTAAAGAAATAGCTATTGAGTTCTGACTGTGTGCTACTGAGTTCTGAGAATACAAAAATGAACAGTATATATAAAGTACATGTCTTCAGAGAGGTTATGGTCCTGGTAAGAAATACAGAAATAATTTGGGTCATATTTTATTTGTGAGATTCTTTAGCCAGGCCAGTGTACGGGAATATGGAGGGAATGTGTAGAGAATGAGACCAAAGGATTTTGATCAAAATCCTGAGAGGCATCAATATTTAAGAAATGGACAAAAGAAGAATAAGCAAAGTAGATATACAAGGATAAACAGAAAAACAGAAAGGAGAAAAATGTGGATGATGGGATTAGTCAAGAAATTAGTGTCAGTAAGGTCCAACACTACTGAGTCTCATATGAGGTAAGGATGAAACAGTGGCCACTGAATGTTGGAACACAGATTATGGAAAACACTGTTCTAGTGGAATGATAGAAAGACAGAATGAATCATACTCTTCAAAAACATATATTAGTTGCCTGGACCATTATTCTCAGTGGTTTCTCAGTTATGTAATAAAGCAATCATCTCTCCACTGAGTGATGTGATCTGATTAGGGTGGGATGCTGTTGTTGTTGTTAGGTGTCATCAAGTCAGTACCGACCCACAGTGACCTTATGCACAG